ACACACACACACACACACACAGGTCGACCCGGTCGACCCGTGAACATTCAGAATAGCCACGAATAGCCTTCGTTCAAGCATGCATGGCACTCGGTGATGAGATGAATCCTTCAGCTGTGTACTTGGTGTCCCCTCCGTAGACCTCTACAAAGGTCAGATCATCAACCGGGAAACCTTTGGACCTTTCATTCTTTTCTTTTTTGGGTTGGTGACCTTTCGGTGTCGAAACAACGGTTCAAGAGATGCTGGAAACGGCAACCACGCAGGGATGTGTCGTGGTGGTTGACACCAAACACGTGCGCATTGCCAAGGTGTCTGCTGTGAAAGAGCTATGGAATACACGTTTTGGACAAGAATGGCTGGTGCATTCATTCTCAGGCTGCCACTGATCGGTCAAGTAGCAGTTCTCCTCTGATCTATCATGGCTGAAGGCCACACCTATGCGGCCGAGTCAGGGTCAGGCTAAGAATGGTTTCTTCAATCCATGAAGCATATGAAGCTTGAGATCGTGTTGATCTAAGCATTGGTCAAAAGACGTTCTACGAAAACAGAGCCATCCTCCGCACTCCAACTTCGTCCACTGTCCACTTTGCCCTGAGCCACTAACAGTTGGCCCTCAATGAGCACAGCAGTTCACCTTAGGGTTTTGAAAGACTCCTAGCCTGGAAAGCCACAAGGCAACTCAAATCCCTTTCGTTTCATTTGTGAACAAGCTCAAGGAAAATGCAATTGCAGGTTTTCCCACGAATAAACACCAGGCTGCAGGGTGCCAAAAGCCTTTGGCGGGGTTTCTGGGTTTCGCTGGGGCTTTGTCTCGAAGTATGCCGCTTCCAGTCAAAGCTTCTTTCTTTCCTTTCTACTAGGAACAAGTGCCTCGCTAGTAGTAACAAGTGCCTTACTGGTAGTAACAAAAAGCTATTAGAATTAAAGTAAATTGCAATTCTAATTAAAGTAAATTGCAATTCTAATTAAAGTCTTATTGTTACTACTAGTAAGGCACTTGTTTCTAATAGCTTCTTGTTTCTACTAGAAAGGCACCTGTTACTACTAGCGTGGCACTTGTTCCTAGTAGCTTCTTTCTTTCCTTTCTCTTTCTTCATCTTTTCTTTGGACCTTTACCCATCTTTACCCCCTTCATTTTTCCGTGCGTTCTTTCCGTACGGGAAATTACTCTTGAAGAGTCTCAGTGTCCTTCTCCACTTTGTGACACTGGACTCGTCTGTCCTGTTTTCCATGCAATTGAGACGCTCTTGCAATAGATCCGTCCAAAAAAGGGCTCCGGGCTACATCCAGTTCATCGTGTCTTTGTGCAAATGCCCTATAACATGTTCCTTTTCTTCATTGATTTGCGGTTTTTTGTGCTTTTCTTTGGACCTTTCTTTTTGGCTCCTGTTCTTTTTCTTTTTTCTCAGCTCGGCATGTCTTGGTGCAAACAAGGTGCATCGATCTGGCTGCAGACTAAAATATTCCCAGGTTGGCTCTTCCCCAGTGGGAAAGATGCACCTCGAATGAACCAGAATCCTGGAGCAAGAACATCTTGCAGTATCAAACAATAACAAGTAAAGAATAAAACATCAAAGGAACAAAAGAACGAAGCTATTACTACTTAGAAACTCAAATATAAAACAAAGGAAAACCAATGATACTGTTTAAATCTTTGCTTTTCTGATACCAATTCCAACCCATTTTCTGAGGCCAAGACCTCCCCGTCCACTCACCATGCCTTGTGTAAGGCACAGCCTGGTGGAACAGGCCGAGGACAGGTGAAGCTGGACCACCGACCAACCGACCATCACACTTTTGGCGCTAAGCTGGCGTTTTTGAGCCGGAGGAGCAAGGACGCTACTAGTAACAAGTGCCACGCTAGTAGTATCAGGTGCCTTACTACTAGGAACAAGAAGCTACTAGGGGCTCCTGGCCTTACTACTAGTGACAAGAAGCTACTAGGAGCAAAGGGCATCGCTACGAACGGAGCAAAGGACGCTGTGCCGGAGGGATCTGGAGGCCGAGGCCATCGCCGGCGAGCGAACAGGGATCTCACCGTGAGCAAATCACACAAACGAATGTCCACAGGACACAGGGGACGCTCTCACGATCTCGTGTCCAAGTGAAAAGGAGCTGCAGGATCATTGTAGGTCCTTTTAGGGTCAAGTTCTCCTCAAGAATAGCGTATTGGACAATCCAAGCTTACACCTCATATGATCACATCATACCATGGGTTTCCTTTTGCTGTTTGGAGATACTCAGGGACAGTATGTATTCTTCTTCCTGCCTATCCATTTGACTCGTTAAATCAGAAGGATGTGCAACAGATGGCAGTGGCACGGAGTTTACATCTATATATGTTGTTGATGGACGCGAAGACACTCTGGTGGCGAGTTTACATTACCTTTGGTGGCTGCTCTGAACCCGATGGGGCACAAAGAGTGGCCAAGCAAAAAATCGGCCACATCTTCCCTGGCAACATCCGAACCCAATGATTTCGCCATTCAACATCTGCTATAAGCAATTTCAAAAGCACATGTTCATTGTTTTTAGCCCCTAGTAGCGTCCTTGCTCCTACCCCCGCCACGCGCGCGCGTGCGCTCGCGAAAAAAGCTCCTAGTAGCCTCCTTTGTTGCTAATTTGACTTAATTTCTAATTCAATTCGATTTCTTTATTGATTCTAATAGCTTCTTGTTACTAGTAGCGATGCCAGGAGCCCCTAGTAGCGTTCTTGTTCCTAGCACGTTTGCTTTCAACTCTGCTTCCTGGACCTCGGCTGCGGCGAGTTCCTCCGGGGTGAAGTTGGCGAACAAGTTGGACAACAAGGTGGTCGTCACCTGGGAGCTCCGGGCGATCTGCTTCTGGCAGATTGGTTGGCAGGCAACGATTCAAGACCTAGCAACAAGTGCATTGCTACCAGTAGCTATTTGCTACTAGTAGTCATGCACTTGTTACTAGTAGTATCGATGCACTTGTTACTTTTAGACATGGAAGGAAGAAGTATAGATTCAAAAGCTCAAAAAAAATAAACAAGTGAAGGAAGGAACAAGAAAAGGTTTACAGGCTCGAAACCCATGTCCCAACAGAAGCGTATTGAGATTTGTAGTTACTGCCTGTGGGAATTCCCAATGTGTTCGTGATTGCTGGAAGGATGATACTATCTTGGTTGTAGTCACAGGGATTCTTTTGAATTGCTTTGTTTTAAGCAGGGGGACTGTCTACCCCACAGATGTGACAGTCCAACGAAGAGGCTTCTGTGGCGGTACTGATATCCGCCGGAAGGGACGCCTTCTGGACGTACCTGCAGTGTTACCTGAATCAACTCCTCCTGGGCCCTGCTTGTAACTAGAACAAGAAATCCAGCCATTGCACCGGTTTGCTCTCGGCAGTCACGCATAGGGCTTTGGTTTTGACTTGCAGATGTGAGCGTACGACGTCATTCTGTCGATCGATCGTTCGATGGTTCCTTTAGATTAGATGGCCACGCTGAACTTGATGGACCTCCACTTCCTTTTCAGGTTTCCTTACCTGTACCCTTAGGAAATGGTACCCTAGGCCGGCGTGTGGCACCGCTGTCAGTCAGTACGCATATCCATCAGTGTGTGTGTGCGCGTGTGTGTCACATCTGAAGAATGAAATGTACTGACCCCAAACCTGTGAGTCGGGGACTTTAGATGTTCAGTCCCTCCAAATAGGGAGCAGAGTTTCTGAGACTGATCACGATGCATCTGATCAACCAACCACGGGTGCCGCAGTGTAATTGACGCTAAACGTAGCATCTTTGTGACAAACACTCGACCTTGCCCTGGACAAGACACCTTTGTTTTCTGCTTTATCTTTTTCAAAGCCTTTCTTCTTTGTACACGAAAACACTCGTGTTCATTGTTTGGACCTCTTTCTTATTTCTTAATCTAACGCTTCTTTAGATTCATTACGCATTGACATGGCCACACAGCATCACCACTGAAGCCCAACCCGCCAACGCGCCGTACCGGGCCTCGACGTCAGTATCATTGGTGACTACAGATATGTTGTGCCCTGCAACAGCGCCGACGAAAGCGTTAGCGGAACCGACCTGTGTGGCAAACCTGTGCACAAAAAAACACATTTCAATTTAAAGTTCTTGATAGGATGGCCTCCAACCTACTAGCGATTTTTTTGAGCCTAGTGGAAATGGCTTCCAGCCTAGTAGAAATGGCCTCCAACCTAATAGCGATGGCCTCCAACCTACTTTCAATTTAAAGTTCTTGATACTCGGTCGAACGCAGTGAACCACATGAACTCATCTCTCTGTTTCCTCGCATGACAGCCCATTGAAGGCCTTTATTTACATCGACCGATCAACAAATTCTGGGAAAAACGGGTCTATCGACAGCAAAGATTCCACAAAAGTTGCTGTCTATTTGGCGCTTGCTGTCAAATGGTGGCCGCATGGCCGATGCCAAACGCAGGTCACCAGGGCGGTTTCCCGTCCCGTCGGGACCCGTCGTGCCTGTGGTCGTGGAGGTCGTGCTGATGCTGCTCATGGTGTGAGTCACGGTGCTACTGCTGGTCCTCGTTCCAGTTGTGGTGGATCCTGTGGTGGAGCTGGTGAACGTGTCAGTAACGCTGCTGGTGGTCAGGGTTCGACTCGTGCTGGTCATCGATGTACTGCTGGTGCTGGTCAAGGCTGTTGTGCTCGTTCGGCTCGTGCTGGTCGCGCTGCCTGTGGTGGAGGTGACCTGCAAGTCGAAGCATCTGCGTCGCACGCGTGCCGTCTTTTTCAGCGACGTGAGGATCGATCCCACTCTGCAAGTAACTGGGCTAAGCCTCTCTTCTGGAATCCACCCGAAACAACGCACCATGCGTTCCATGGCGGCGCCGTGGTACCAAAAGAACCGACCCAAAAACCGGTCGACGTGGTGGCGAGTCGACCAACCGAAGGCCAGACGAAGCGTTGGTCTGAGATTCCAACTGTTCGGACAGTGGTGGTGGTTGCAGTGATGGTGGTGCCTGCCGTGTCTCATCGCGGTTCGGTGAGCAACCTCTCGACATCGAACCCGAAGAGCCAGCAAGGTCTTCAAGCGTTTTCAGTGCCTAGTAGCGATGCCAGGGCCTCGTTCGTAGCGTCCTTGCTCCTAGTAGCGATGCCAGGAGCCCCGTTCGTAGCTTCTTGTTCCTAGTAGCCTAGGAGCGACCTCCAACCTGGCCTTGAGAGTTGCGTGTTGCGGAAGCATTCGCAACCCCACGGGCTCGTCCACTGCCACGGGGCGGAAGTCCCCGAAGCGTCTCGTCCGCCGCTGCGGCCACCCCGGGGCTCCGTGCTGTTGCGCACATCTGTGATGTTGAGGCGATCCGCCTTCCAAACGTCGTGTCGTCGACCGCGCAAGCGCCGTGTGTTCCAAACACCCTGGACGACCTTTAGGACAGTCTCTATCACCACAGGTGTTTCCATGGAGAAAGCAAGAACCGAATGCCTTTCTGCATCTTCCCAGAATGAACAGCCGCAAATATTTCAGACATGCTCGGAATCACCAAGCTCAAATCAGAGGAAGGGACTGTCAATGGTGTGGATGTAAATTCAATCGACCTTCGTCAGTTTATCAATGTGAAGACATGACTACTATGTATTACACAGGCTTTCCAGTTTCTGTGCCGTTTTGACCCATGCTCACTCCCATGCTCTTATAGAATCATATCAAATCAAATTCGCATGTCTTAATGTGCTAAAAGAGTGAAACCCACATGTTCTTCTTTCCGCGCATCGTCTTCAACACCCCCGAGCTTCCTCACCTCCAGTCCGGGAACCCTCGGTGCTGCTTCCCAGGGACCTGGCAGCGAACGAGTGCACGAGGAAGAACCAATCTAAGACGGGTGCCTCGAACATTGACCGGTCATAACATGTTGGGTGCGCTTGGAGGCCATCGCCTAACCTGAATCGCCCATCAGATCTGGGAAGTAGATCCATCTCACGGATCCCGCAATTCACCACTTCGTACAACTGGTGTTACTGGAGAAAATCAGGCACCAAGTCATCGATGTGCTCCACGGACCCCCTGTCGCCCGGTCAAACCCTGGGCCCGACCGACCGACCGACCGTTCTCCATCGCCCAAAAGCGACCGCAAAACGGACCGCAAAGCGTGTACCGGTTTGACATGTGTGCTATGCAGCGTTTGTTGAGCAAGATGAGAAGTGAAAAACGTATGCACACATCGAAAAACACCGTGCGTGTGAGAAAAAATCCAAATGGGTTGCTCCAGAGTGCCCCACTTTGAGGTGACACGGTATGACACGGTGACCGAGGTGACATGCCAGGAGGTGCACTCCAGGCCAACGAACCCAAACCTTGGAGGGACACGAGAGTTCAGCATCTCTCCAAATCGAGATTTCTTGTGGCACGATGAGGGTAGTAACAAGGTTCGCTATTAGAAACAAGTGCATCGCTAGTAGTAACAGGTGCCTTACTAGCAGTAACAAGGTCCGCTACGAGCGTAACAAGGCGCAAGATCGTCTTGGTACACGTTTCACTCGTTGATGTCGAACACAGGTGAAACGAGTCCGTCCGCGTTCGTTCCCTCTCAGTCCGACCCCGCACTGCGACCCCGCACTGCTCCAGCACTCTGTGTCGGTGCCCTTCTTGGGATGTAAATACAGACTTTCAATGAGCTTCCACCCTTGTTGGTACAACCGCACGAGACTGACAAAACGTTGGAGACTTATTAAGACTTCGTTGTCTTCGTCGCCTCACTTGACTCTTCTGCCAACTACAACGAGTAGTCGTCATGGAGATCAAGGAGTGTCTTTGTCTTGAACCGTCCCAGGAGCTACAGCTACATCCACCGTCCACCAGTGTCAGCTGCGAACGAAACGGAGATTTGGTCAAAAACTGATAATGTCAAATGTGAACCAAACCAGTTTGATGGAATGAAACCGTACCCGACGTGGAAACGACCTCCAACAACAATGAAAAACAACCGATCAAAAAAAACTGGTCAACGGTCATGGAGACACATCTGCTGAAGCAGGGCATCGCACCGCTACTAGTCCAAATGGAGGCACCTCCCATGACCTACGAGTCGCTGATCGGTTGAAGGCCATCGCTACTCCGACGAAAACATGGAAGTGGAGATCACCCCCTGTTCGTAAAGGACAGTCGTCACAAAACCATGCCATCCACTTCCATGTGATGTATTCGTCAGAGTGTAGGTTGGAGTCAAGGACTTGGATCGGACTTGTCGGTTTGGATCTGCCGTGAACGCGGTCCACATGGTCGACTGAGCTGGTGACACGAAGAGCAAAACCATGCCAATGGTCACGAAAGCACCTGTTGACAGAAGAGGTTGCCCACTCTGATTGAAGCTGCCGGTCTGTAAGCTGAAGTCTGCCTATCTAGGAAGCCTCAGAGTGCATGATTTAGATCCAACACACTACTAGTAACAAGAAGCTATTAGAAACAAGTGCATCGCTACTAGTAACAAGTGCCTTACTAGTAGTAACAAGGACGCTACTAATTCTAATTTAACACTACTCAACACTTTTGGTGCACCGACGATCCAAGACCAGTCGGCGACAACGTCAATCACGCGACGAGTCAGGCTTGGTGACGCCGACGCGTCGGAAACACAAATGGTGGGAGGCCATGGATACTAGGAAGAAGAAGCTACTAGTAACAAGGGCATCGCTACTAGGAGCAAGTGCCTTACTAGTAGTAACAAGAAGCTATTAGAAACAAGAAGCTATTAGTAACAAGTGCATCGCTACTAGTAACAAGGGCATTACTACTAGTAGCAAGGACTCCTAAGGACGCTACGAACGTAGCAAAGGGCATTACGATATGGTTGGTCGGTGCCAACTGCACCTGTCAACAGCGCCCGGCGTCGCTTAGCATCGGTGAAGGGCTCTGGTAGCCCCTGGGCCGGGCGAGGCTCGGATGGCACAAGATTGAAAGTGCCCTGAACCGACCATGAACAAGGCATCCACTATCACTACAGCTCTTGAGTTTTATTTTTTTTCCGGTAGGCTCATGATCTACACCTATCTACACTTTCACTGTGAGAACTTGACCATGTTCGCATCAATTCTGCATGTACTGTGGAACTAGGAACAAGAAGCTACTAGTAGGTCTTTGAAGCTTCTTAGTAGCGTTCTTTTAGGAAGGGTCCTAGTAGCTTCGTAGCTTCGTAGTAGCTTCTTAGGTCTACCTATTCTACCTGTTTGACGAACTCACCAGGTCACCAAGCTGTCGATCGGAACTTTCGCTCGCCTCGTGCTCCCGTCTGGGCGGTACGTGGAGCGTCTTCACGCAAACGATCAACAGCCCAGCCAGGAAGGCCTCGGCGAAAAAGCGAAGAGGCGTAGCCACCACGTGCCGCACATCTTCTTTCGAATGAACACGTTGGCCGTCCGAACGTTTTGTTGAAGGTTGGATGATGAGTTGAAAAAGCCTCAACAAATCGAAAGAAGTGACAATCCCATCCTTCCCTTTCCAACCAACCAGGCAATTCCACATTCGGTGTCAAACGCCCTGATCAAGCAAAACCCATCACACGGCGTAGCACTTCTTTTTCTGACATCGAGATGCCACACTGTATCCTCAAACAATTCGATAAGCAGCATTCGGCTTCCTTTGCTCCAGTGTGACCCAAAAGTGTCGTGCAAACTTGGTTTTGATACCCTAAGTTTCACGGGACAAACAAGGAAGAACAATTAGTAGCTTCTTGTTACGTTCGTAGCGAACATTGCTCCTAGTAGTGCGGCCAGGAGCCCCGTTCGTAGCGTAATGGCTCCTAGTAGCAATGCCAGGAGCCCCTAGTAGCTTCTTGCAGCATGAGGCATAAAGTGCTACTACATTTACACAGCCAACTGGAAGAACGTTTGGTATACAGATTTCAGAACAAACCGTCCCAGATAGCTGCTACAAATTTCATGGGAAAGAGAGTGATCAGGAATGGACTAGGTGGCGGCTAGTGGCGTCACACAAACACAACAAATCTAGCGAGCTCGACTCACTCGATGCAAATAAAATGACCACAAGGAGTAAGAATGTTTCATGTAAGCAAAGACTGGCATAAATACACACAGGAGCATTCCTAAGGGGTGATGGAGGCAAGTCTCATTTTGGAGAGCCTCTTGAAGAATCTCTGCGCCGATGGATGATTTATTGAATGACTTGAGGTGCCAAGTCATTAATGTGTTTACCATTGTTTACCAGGTTTACCACACCTCATCTCAACCAGGAGAAGTGGGAACCATCGGTCATGCCGTACCGGTCTCTAAGTACTATGTAGAACGGCTGTTCCAAATGTTAAGCTCCCAGAACACCGGGCCTCAAGGCCGGTGTATCACTGCCAACATGACGCAGAAAAGACATGTTGAAAAACCCCAGAAAAGCTGACACATCCGCCGTCTGACTCGGGAGGATGGGCTTTGGTCCCAGCCTGCAGTTGTGACTATGTCTATTTGGTCTGCCTCTACTACTTGATGATAGCGATGGTCTGAATTTGTACCATTTGCACGGTCTGCCAGTCAGCAGTGAAGGTGCTGTCATGCTGAAGACTCCGCACTTAGAGCTTCTTGCAAGAATGGCCTCCAACCTAATAGCAATGGCTTGCCATGTTTATGAACAGGAGTGGAAGCTGACGTAATTCTACCTAGACCTAGACGCCCTAGTTTACGGCCAGGAGCCCCTAGTAGCGTCCTTGCTCCTAGTAGTACGGCCAGGAGCCCCTAGTAGCGTCCTTGCTCCTAGTAGTAAGGCCAGGAGCCCCTAGTAGCTTCTTGCTCCTAGACCTAGACGCCCTCAATATTTCCTTTTGTTGCAAATGTGTCGATACCTTCCTTCGGCGGCGGCTTACGCACTTCTGAAGCGCCATGGTCGACGAAGCCACATGGGAGTCTTTGTTTAAGTCTCCAATGATTAGCATTTCGCACAAGCCTCGTGCGGCTCTCCTGATATTCAACATATCAATTCATCTAACCTAATAGCCTAATAGCAACGGCCCCCAACTTAATAGCAATGGCCGATAGCGAATAGCCTTCATGAAAGCTTTTACAGCATTCACGGACGACTCCCATGACGACTCCTGTTGCTCGGCATCTTGCTCGTTGCTCCACTCTGCTTCGCGCTCAGTACTCTGACATGCTCACATCAGAATCAGTCTCCGACGAGTCGTCCTGAAGTGCTCCGTCGTTCATCGAGAGGAGTGATGAGTCGCAATGAACCGCTCTGAATTGGCACGTCTCAAGCCGTTAAGTGCTTAAGAGCAAAGTTCTTAAGTGCTTCAACTCTGTGATGAGACATATTTTGGGTCGAAACTAGTCGTAGTTCAGCCCAAACTTAACGGCTTGAGAAGTGCTAAAAGAGCGGTGTGATGCTACATTCAGAGTGCTTCGCAAATGAATGCTCAATGCTGATGTTCTTGCTTCGCCTGCTTTTCTTTCGAAGGTGTTGAAGGGCGAATCGGCGCACAGCACCAGCCCAAACAAGGCTTTAGAGCTCAGAACTGCTTTCACGCAACTTCCGTTCAATCACTGGGAGTTCTAAATACTCGTTGTGTCGACCAAAACGAAGAGCTGGGCTCTCCTCCAGCTCCTTGTGTCGACGGAAGAGGTCTGGAATTTGCTCCAAAGGAACACCTTTGGTCTCCTGCAAAAGCTTCGGCATGATCAAGTCCAAGCTACCCGCTCATCTTGACATAGCACAAACACATACAAACACTATACACAAAGGTTCAAAGCAAATGTCCCTAATCCAAGTGTCCTTGATGTAAACGAGGACAAAAATTGCATTCCTGAGCTTCCATGGAATGACAACCAATGAACAACGAGCAATGGTTGATGACCTGCCAGCGACGGCCTCCAACCTAATAGCTTCCAACAATCCTCCCTGTTTCACGCCCAGCAACAAAATGTTCAGCGCACCGAAGAAAAGCAGAGTCCCAGGTGTTGACCACTTCCTGAGAGACGGTGACCATCGCGACTGATTTGACGAGTCAGTGATGACAAAAATGTTGGTTTTACAACCCCCCCAAAATAGGTAACCAAATCATTAGTGCGAGCACTTCCTTGAAGAAGCGTGAACCATGCACTTCTCCCTTAATCAAGTACCCTTTATGAAGTAGGAGCGAACCAAAAACAAGAAATAAGAGAAACAAGGTGATTGCAGTAGGCCTTTGGTTTGACATATTCAAGTCAACAGGTGCTCGGTCAACTTGTTGACTTGGCGGTCGGTCAAGCCGAAGGTTTCGTGGCTGTGCTTCTTGGCTCGTGGACTCCACAGGCTTTTTGGCTCGTGAACATTCAAAAGAAAAAACAAAAGAAACAAATTATCCCGGCAAGAGACCCCAAGCAGTGTGTGTGCTTAGGCGCCCCGGCACGCAAAACGTAAAACGTAAGGTTCCGCACGTGTAATCCAAAACGTACGGCCCCCTCGGGAAAATCCAGACCCCATCCAGATACCTATATGCATTTACTGTCCTCGGATAAACGCATCTGTGTGCTATTCTTTTTCAACTTGCCAGCGCACGTTCAAAATCCGCCAGCAAATCCTCCTCAGACACTTCTGGTCGGTGAGGAACTTCACCATCAGCCTCTTCCTGTGAATGTACTGAAGGCACATCGGAACCTGATGACTCGTCAGCAGAAGATGAGCTCAAGTCAGCATCAACACCCTCTTCTGCTGTCTCTTCCATCGGAGCAGGGCCGCTTTCTCTGCGAGCGGTTGGACGTGGCAGCTTGATGAAGTCGCGAGTCGGCCGTGTCTTCCTGCTGCGCTGCTTTGCACTGGGATAAAGGAGGCGCCAGCCTGTCACCACCTTCATCAAAACCTGCTTTGTCTGTGGCAACAGACTAGCCCGAATCGGGGCACATTGCCTAGACAGGGTGGCCCAGAGTCTCTCCGATTGCCCCTGTGAGTTGCCAACTGTGCCAAATTGCAACGCCATCTCTTTCAAAGGGTGGCTGGGTTGACCAACTCGAAAAAAAGCCAACACATCCTTCTTGCTTGCCTCCTTCGGAGGGTACCTGGAGATGCGTTTCGACTTTAAAAAAAGCGGTAAGTGGAAATGCGCGTTTATAGTGTATACACTGCAAATGTTCCATTTCGACTGCAAATGCGCCAAGGACAAGACTATACGTACATGCAAAGGTAGCGACGACAGTTTTTCGTTGGTCGGTAGGTTTGTTGCGTGTGTGCACGCGGGGGGCGCAGATGCGCGGTTACAAAGCAGTTGCTTTGGGATTTCGTGGGCCGGTCGCTTTGACTCGCGCGATGGGGTTTGCATGCATGGCTTAAGTAATTCATGGTTCTTGCTTGCTCATGAACCGAGGAACCATGGTTAGCCTTGCTCACTCATGAGCCATGCGCATCAAATGACATTTCCTGCGCTTGTTTGCTCACGCATGCAATCGCCATGGTGATGCTCGCAGCCGTTTCACAGATTCGGTTGCGAACGGGCGCCCGTGAAAATGCGTGCTTTTCTACTGCAAAAACCCTCATTTGTACAGCAAATGCCCGTTAAAATCGTGAAAATATGTTTTTGTATTTCTCACAGGTTTTTGATTGTTTTTGAGCTGCGTTCAATTGGTGGAGAAATCTACAGCTTCCGACGCTGGTCTCTTGCTGCCTAACTCATTCCCTTTCCACCATTCGGCGGTGGCTGTCGGGCTTCAATCAGAAACTTGATGATGTATTGGACGTGTGTTCGCTTCAAAGAGAAATGCATCTGCAAGAGTTTGCGCGCGTGTCCTGTGTTGTTTTCATTCAGAGGCGCCCCCGCGGGAAGCAATCAGGCTTTCTTGTTTGCAACATCTTGTTGCGCTAAAAAACGCTAGAGGAGTCAGGGGCCCACAATTCTTTCAGAAGTTAGATTTGATGGGGAGCGGGGGGAGTATTTTGCAGTGCAAATGCGCGTTTGCAATGCGAATGCTCAAATCGCAACTTTTAAAAGTGTAAATGCATCTCCAGGTAATCACAACCAGCGAATGCACCAGCTTTGGAGGCGTAGAGATCCAAGGCGCGCTTGGCCGCCTCCTGCTCTGCCTGCACACTAAAGATGCCGGACGCTTTTCTCTCACTCTTGGAAACGCATTTGGGAATTGTTTGCGTCTAAGCTATGGGGTGCTACTGGGTGCTTTTTTCGGGCTCTTAAAAACGCATTTGACTTACTGCCCACCCTTGACTTCCCACCTTGCACGGAAAGAAGAGTGGAATGTACTCGTTGCCGCAAGCAGAGACAGCTTCTTGGAGGGCTGCCTGGAAAGGAAAGTCCATGTGCACATCTATCTGAGGATCGCGGGCGCAAGCATGAGAACGAGGGTCAAGGGCAAAGGCAG